TCAAGGATCCTCATCAAAATTTATTTATTTATTTATTTGAACACATATATATATTGGTACAAGAGAGCGCCAATATATATGCGCCACACAAAACAATGAGAATTCGAAAAGAAGAAAAAGGTAAGGAGCGCAAAAAAAAGAGAGCAACAACGAAGAAATTGGTGTAAGGTAGTGTAGTAATAACAATAGTAATAGTAGGGGAACAGAAGGGTACAATCAGAAGAAATCTTTCAGGTAAGGGAGACACAACCACTTTTTATGAAGAAAGTAAAAGAAGGTTACAGCAGGATCGCCACTGGCTTCTATTCTGAGCCATATCTGATAACGTCTCTAGCCACTGTGTAGCACCATCTCTCAGACCCCAACCAGGGAGTCGTGAACGACCAACAGAAGCCAGTCCTTTGCAGCTTTCTTTCATGTCACGACACCATGTCATATACTGACCACCTCTCCGCTTCTTCCAACCAGTCCCAGAGTCGGCAAATAATGCACGACGTGGAATTCTCTGGGACGACATTCGGAGAACATGTCCAAGCCACCGAAATCGGTGTTTCAAGATGGTGACACCAATTGCATTATCGCGTCTGTGTCCGAACACACGATGCCGAACCTCTGCATTACTAACATGGTGTTGCCACTGGATGTCAGCAATCCTTCGGAGACAGTGATGATCGAACACAGAGAGTCGTCTAACGTCCTCAACTCTGAGTGACCAGGTTTCACAAGCATGGAGCAAAACTGGTCTCACCGACGCGTTGTAGATCCGACCTTTTACGGCCAGACTAACATCACGAAGGCGCCAAAGGTGGCCCAGATTGGCATAAGCCGCTCTGGCTTTCACTATACGTGCATTGATCTCATCACTCACGCCACCACCAGCACTTATGCAGCTACCCAGATACACGAACTTCTCGACTATTTCTATCTGCTCACCATCCAGGGTGAGTACAGGATTAGAATCCTGCCAGTCTTGTAGAAGTACTTTGCACTTCGAAGGTGCAAAACACATACCATACCTACGGACACTGATTGCCAACTGATTAAGTGCGAATTGCATGCCTTGGGAATTATCGCACAGTACACTCTCTAGTTCCCGAACCCTTGTAAACAACGTCGTCAATTCCTTAGTCAAAAAGTCACCACCATCTTTGAAAAGAGCCGGAGGTAAGTCATCTAAGCCAGGTGATTTGTAGCGCTTCAAGAGTTGGAGTTCCTTGCAGACTTCCGCCTCATTTGGTGGATCAGTCGTCACCGGCCATGGAGGGCAGGACAGTCTGACTGATGTTGCCGGAGCAGCAGGCCAGTTGAACTGCCCTTCGAAAAATTCTGCCCATCGTCCAAGACGTCGATGGATGTTAGTGATTGGGATCTCATCATCCTCGCAGATTGTTTCACTCACACCAGACTTCTTGCTGCCAGTGGCTCGGATGAGTTGGAAGAGCTTCCGGTAGTTACCAGATGCAGCTGCTGCTTCCAGCTCATTAGCACGCTCCGACCACCAGGCTTCTCGGTCCTTACGCAAGCTTTGCACAATTTCACTACGTAACAACCTTCGTTTGTGGTCAAACTCACGGTCACCCGGAGTAGACCGACGGGCTTTAATGAGTTGTAAGGAACCAGAAGAAACCCAGTGCTTATAAGCGGGACGTTTCGCGAAGCCACAACTGACTGTAGCCGCCATTTTCATGGCGTCATGCAATTGCAACCAACGCTCATCTATACTTTTCGGTGGAATGGTAGCTAACCTAGATGCTAGTTCGGTTCGATACTTACTAGCAACAGAAGTTGCAACCAGCTTGCTGACATCAATCCGTTGATGGCGGTCACTTCGTTGTCCACTGAAAGGTAAGGTCAGAGTCCAGATAGGTACTCCAGAAGGAGTGGCAGCCTTGTACATAACCACGCCAGTGGTAGCTGATCGCGATGTGATCAATCTGAGTCCAGGCTTGAGATGCAGAGGGAGGACGCCAGGTGGCACATCGGTGATAACTGTGCCGAAAGCTAGTGCTAGCCAGAAACAGGTTGTGGTCTGTGCACAGTTGCAGTAGACGGTCCCCGTTATCTGACTTGCGACCAACGAGTCCCCATCGGCCCCCTAAACGACCCTCTTCTGTGCCTAGATGCCCGACCTGAGCATTCAAGTTTCCGGCTAGTACTACAATATCTGTCGAACGCACTTTCTGGAGAAGAACAGATAACTGGTGGTAAAACTCATCCTTGATTGCATCCGGGCTGCAATCTGTCGGGGCATAGGCGGAGATGACGAAGAGACATCGTTCCTCACGCCGATTTCTTCTCACTTTGATGGAACTCTAATCTAACAGCACATAACCGACTGTTAATGGGGACCGATCGATTAGTGCTGCCTCAGCTCTAGCGCTTAGTGCGACACCAACGCCAGCAACACGAGACGAAGATGCCACAGGGTCCCCGGATAAGCGCATGTAAAACAAACTTTTTGAAGCGACAGATGGAGATCGAATTTGTAGTACTTCGCCAGAGTCTTGAATACGGGTCTCGGATAGACAGCAGACATCGATATGAAGACTTTCCGAAGACATAGCCAGCCCTATCTGTTGTCCGACCTGCATAAGTGGGCGAATGTTGAAGGCAGCCAGTTTGAACGGCGCACGTGGTTTCAGAAAAACTGCTTCAGTACTCATATTCGGTGGTAACATACAATTTTCAACCGGACAGTGACTCGAGAACGTTTAGATACAGTCGGATTTCCACCAAAGACGAGCCGCTGTATAAGTATAAAAGAGGGTGAATAATGTGGTAAATAATAATATTATTAATAATAATCATTTGAATCGTTTGATTGTTAGTTGAAGCAAGTAAAGTAGTTTCCATAATTATATACAGTTCATCATATTTGTGTGTGGGCTGTGATACTGCCCGGGTGCCCAGACCGAAGCAGGTGGTTATCTTAGGAGGCCACTCCCCGAGCCTTCAACCCAAAGGTCTAACCCACAAGGTAGTGGAGCATCGTAAGGAGATGCAGCCCTATGGTAGCCGGTGACGAACATTTGGTTCATACGCCATTTATTCCCGCAGGATACTGGAGCCCATGTGCACCATTGGTTTGGGATCCGGTTAAAGCGCCAGACATTCGCTTTTCGTCCTCTCATTTTCGTAAACAACACCCCCGCCACGAGAAGGCAGTGAGTAGGACTTCCCTGGCAGAGGCTGTATACGCGTGGCCGTGTGAGAGTATCTCGAGAGGGAGAGCGGACTCTCTCCACTCTCAGCCGTACCAGTGCATTTGGGGGCTTCCTTACTTCCTCATCGAAATAGTGGGACACGAACCTACCCACTACAACAGGATTGGTTCACCTGAATTCGTTTCAATTTCTAAAAGACCGGACTTTTAGGTGATACACTTGAGTTCCAAACACTTTTCGGAAATCACTTACCACTATTTAAAGTTGTCGATCAGTATCACAATCTAAACACAAATAATGATCATCAATAATAAAATAAATGGATTGCTTGTCTAGTCACATGAGTTACATGAAACATGTCAAATTCTATCATCGTATTTATTACAAACAAAACGCAATCAGATATGTTCTAGTTTTTATTTAAATACAAGAGCTTGTATTTCACGACAATACTTATTGAAAAGATTATGAAAACGCAATAGGTTTCTTTTCTCCTAGTATTTCCCATTTTATTCTGTAACAAGTTTGTTTGGCTCTTCTATAGTCTCTGTCTAAGGTATTCCTTTCCGGTTATTTCCACTTTCTATTCACTCCTTTGATGACTGCCTCCAATTCCCAACTCACTTCCTTGATCTTGCACTTTCCCGTTTACCGTCAGGATTTCGAGCCAGGGCCTGACTCGTGATACGGTTTGCTGATTTCTAAAATGTATGTCCCATCCACCTCCATCATCCTCTTTTCATTTTCTCTCCAGCTGTAAGCTGGTTCGTTCTCTCCCACAATACGTTGTTGCTGATGAGATCCGGTCAAAGGAAATTGAGTTTCTTGTATAGACAATTGTTCATAAATACTTGACAGTATTTGTAATAGTTCTCCAAGTTTCAGTTCCTCACAGGAGGATTATCTTGACGTTCGGATTGAAGATTCTGACTTCGATATTGGTTGACAGTTGTTTTGAGCTCCTTATATTCTTCAATTGTGGGAATACCGCCCTTGCTTGCCGATCCCCATGTTTACGTCTGCATCATATCCTCCTTGTTTACCAATGATACTGACTGGGTACGTGAAAGACTTCGGCTCTTCCAGAGCTTCTCTATCAAGTGTGATTGGGTTGGTGTTATCCGTGTTGTACTTGAGGATCGTGCTTCACCCGTTGTGTATGTTGAGACCCACTGCTTCATAGGCTACCTCTAGACTGGCCATCGTCACCTGAATTTGTTCGTGTGTGTAGGATGGAAGGGCTAGGCCATCTTCTAAGTCCAAATGGTCTAGTTACATCCATGGTGTTCGTCATACTCCGTGCTTCCCCTTAGATGTGGTGGTCTTGATCATCCACTTGACCGCCAGGAGTGAAAGGTAGAGAGTAAACAGCCTTGTCCACATACCACTAGTTTGGACCTATCACGCCTATAATAATCTCCGTCGCTCCTTTTACTCTTACACTTCGGTCGCACACTACCTGAAATTCTAATTAATTAACCAATAATATATTTATTTAGCTCTTGAAATCGTCATCTAATATCTGAATTTTCGCTCATCTATTTTTCATGTTGCAACTAATCAATCTCTTGCATGGTAATGTAACACATACTGTTCCTATAAACTTTAGTGCTTTACAAATGACGTGATCACTCAGATTGAAGGATGTACAAGCACACAAGTAACTACCAATCTGAGTAAAATTAGCACAGTCGAGAGGTTAAACTACCGTCCAGCAAAAATTATAAATTGCCCTTAATTGTGTCTAGAAAGCAAGGAGCCGGTGCAAATAAATGAATCGGTTTGTACAAAGTCGTTATAAGAATATTGGATATTGGGTAATATATTGGAACTACCATTGCCTGCAGCTTTAGAGCGGGTAGACGATAGTGGCGCTACAGCTGACTTAGCAAACCAACAGGAAATGAAAAGTGGGACTCAACAACTTCCTGAGAATGATATGGGTCCCCTAGCGGCTTCGGATAAGTTAATGGATGGGTCACCCAGTGAAAACCTGAAGGATGCAGATGAGTTATTACTAGAAGATATCCGTGATCAGATCCGATATATCGAAAAATCTGTAATGACCAAAGAGATATATTATATGACAAGGGTTGTGCGTGGCCTGTCTGGCGTTCGTCGACGACTCAATTGTAATGTTTTGAGAGGCTTAATGCAAGGTTATTTCCCAAATCCTTCCCCACAAAAGACTTATTTTTTGGAGTTTCTCCCTGAGGTTTGTTCTCAGTTTCACTACTAAGTTTTAGGCAATGGACACTGATTGTCCGTTATCGTCGTTCCGTCCTCGTGCTGGAAAGCTTAACACCCCATTAATACCTGAGGTAGAGGTATACTTGCACCTCCTACTTGTAATGTTTTTGATTGATGAAAACCACTTAGAAGAGGTAAATTTACCCAACATTTCATGATACTCTTCATGGTTCGTAATTTTATTCATTAAACTTAAGGTCTGCATTTTCACACATTGCAAAGTGCCCAATTTCAACTCATGTTTATTAGATTAGGACAAAACGTGAGCTAAATATATGGCTTGCTGGAAGTAATTTTTCTGCAAACATGGTACGACTAAGCCTTTCAATACAGCTGTAAGTTCTTTGTCCTAGTTACGTAAATCAACCAGTTCATAAAGAATTAGAAAAGATATCTTAATGACGCAATTGGTCTCACCAAATATTATCAAAATTTCGCTGTATTGTGTCCGTATTTCAAATTATATGGTTGAACCCAAGATTTAACCTTACATTCCAAAGAAATGAACATATGCCATTGGTTTACGTTGTGGCTTAGTGTTACAAAGAACATGTGTGTTCATGGACGAATTCGTTACATATTCTCGACTCAGTTAAGTACTATAGGATTCCTACTCACTCTTGACTTTTCATCCAAGTAAACGTTCAAACTCGCGTGTAGGGACTTTGTATATCAATAATAGGTCAAAATGACTTCATAATGAACCACACTAGCTTGGAGCTTTCTACGCCTCTTCTGTGAAAGTACATTTTTCTTACTGTGTCTAGATTGCTTTTGACGATTTACTTCAATTATTTATATTCCTACTAATACAACATTATTTCGATAACTTTGTTCGGTGGTTTCAGGCTTACTGTACTTACTATTTATGTAAGATTTCAGTGAGATGAAACATCAGAATACATGATCAATTTAAAATAATGATATTGTGAAGTAATAGGTAAAGAATCTCGGATATTATTACTAATATGGAGTATTGACTGACGAAGAAAGTATTCAATATACCTCGCTTATCGTAAACAGCTCAGAGGTTGACGTAATTGTCTTATGCGGCAATCGTCACGAATCAGTAAATCTTTTAATAGACTTATTTCGTACCACTTAATCATTTATTGCTACCTTTCTGTATGGCTTATGCTCTCTTTTATGTTACTATAATTTTTGGCTCTATATTTCATCTAAAATTCCTTTAGTCTCAACGGACACTCAAGTATGAGAAGTATGTTTTACTTGTGCTAATTTAAAGACACTGTATCAAATTTTCATTCGAACTACAGGCCTCTGCCCAAGTACAGATGGTTCTCACATAAACCGTTAGCTCATACCTGAGCATACAAACAAGAATTTGATAAATTCTTTTGTAATTATTTGGTCAGATTCCGGTACAATAGCGTTGTTTCGTTGAACATTAGAGCAAAAGCGGCACTAGTTGATTGGATTTCAGTCGATAGTTGTTTGTACGCTTGAAAGCTAAAGGATCTAGTTATAGTCAGGAGCAAGAAGTGGAATCTTTGTAAGTCGTAATGGACTGACAGATTTCAGTCCTATACATCTGTCGGTATGGGTGCCCGGGATGTATTACAACCCATACAAAAATCAAGTGACTTGTGTAGCGCATATGTACTCGGTGCTACTTTGTACCAATATTTGTGTCCAAATAAATAAATCGTATATACCAAAAACTTGACACCTATCTGCTCTTCTCACCCAATCCTAGCATCCACAAATAATGTATAGTGTGGAAGACACTGGGACCACGTGACCAAATCACAGTCGATGTTTCAAGATAGTTGCACTAACTGAATCATTGTCACTGTGCCCAAATACATATTGCCGGACATCAGTATTGTCAGCATAGTGTTGCTACTGGATGTTGACAATCCTTATTTATTTATTTGAACACATGAATATTGGTACAAGAGAGCGCCAATATATATGCGCCACACAAAACAGTGAGAATTCGAAGAGAAATAGAAAAAAAAGCTAAGGAGCGCAAAAAAAGAGAACAGTAACGAGGAGATTGGTGTAACGTAGTATGGTAGAAATGAGGGAATGGAAAGGTACAATCAAAAGAAATCTTTCAGGTAAGGGAGGCACAACCACTTTTTATGAAGAAAGTAAAAGAAGGTTACAGCAGGATCGCCACTGGCTTCTATTCTGAGCCATATCTGATAACGTCTCTAGCCACTGTGTAGCACCATCTCTCAGACCCCAACCAGGGAGTCGTGAACGACCAACAGAAGCCAGTCCTTCGCAGCTTTCTTTCATGCCATGACACCATGTCATATACTGACCACCTCTCCGCTTCTTCCAACCAGTCCCAGAGTCGGCAAATAATGCACGACGTGGAATTCTCTGGGACGACATTCGGAGAACATGTCCAAGCCACCGAAATCGGTGTTTCAAGATGGTGACACCAATTGCATTATCGCGTCTGTGTCCGAACACACGATGCCGAACCTCTGCATTACTAACATGGTGTTGCCACTGGATGTCAGCAATCCTTCGGAGACAGTGATGATCGAACACAGAGAGTCGTCTAACGTCCTCAACTCTGAGTGACCAGGTTTCACAAGCATGGAGCAAAACTGGTCTCACCGACGCGTTGTAGATCCGACCTTTTACGGCCAGACTAACATCACGAAGGCGCCAAAGGTGGCCCAGATTGGCATAAGCCGCTCTGGCTTTCACTATACGTGCATTGATCTCATCACTCACGCCACCACCAGCACTTATGCAGCTACCCAGATACACGAACTTCTCGACTATTTCTATCTGCTCACCATCCAGGGTGAGTACAGGATTAGAATCCTGCCAGTCTTGTAGAAGTACTTTGCACTTCGAAGGTGCAAAACACATACCATACCTACGGACACTGATTGCCAACTGATTAAGTGCGAATTGCATGCCTTGGGAATTATCGCACAGTACACTCTCTAGTTCCCGAACCCTTGTAAACAACGTCGTCAATTCCTTAGTCAAAAAGTCACCACCATCTTTGAAAAGAGCCGGAGGTAAGTCATCTAAGCCAGGTGATTTGTAGCGCTTCAAGAGTTGGAGTTCCTTGCAGACTTCCGCCTCATTTGGTGGATCAGTCGTCACCGGCCATGGAGGGCAGGACAGTCTGACTGATGTTGCCGGAGCAGCAGGCCAGTTGAACTGCCCTTCGAAAAATTCTGCCCATCGTCCAAGACGTCGATGGATGTTAGTGATTGGCATCTCATCATCCTCGCAGATTGTTTCACTCACACCAGACTTCTTGCTGCCAGTGGCTCGGATGAGTTGGAAGAGCTTCCGGTAGTTACCAGATGCAGCTGCTGCTTCCAGCTCATTAGCACGCTCCGACCACCAGGCTTCTCGGTCCTTACGCAAGCTTTGCACAATTTCACTACGTAACAACCTCCGTTTGTGGTCAAACTCACGGTCACCCGGAGTAGACCGACGGGCTTTAATGAGTTGTAAGGAACCAGAAGAAACCCAGTGCTTATAAGCGGGACGTTTCGCGAAGCCACAACTGACTGTAGCCGCCATTTTCATGGCGTCATGCAATTGCAACCAACGCTCATCTATACTTTTCGGTGGAATGGTAGCTAACCTAGATGCTAGTTCGGTTCGATACTTACTAGCAACAGAAGTTGCAACCAGCTTGCTGACATCAATCCGTTGATGGCGGTCACTTCGTTGTCCACTGAAAGGTAAGGTCAGAGTCCAGATAGGTACTCCAGAAGGAGTGGCAGCCTTGTACATAACCACGCCAGTGGTAGCTGATCGCGATGTGATCAATCTGAGTCCAGGCTTGAGATGCAGAGGGAGGACGCCAGGTGGCACATCGGTGATAACTGTGCCGAAAGCTAGTGCTAGCCAGAAACAGGTTGTGGTCTGTGCACAGTTGCAGTAGACGGTCCCCGTTATCTGACTTGCGACCAACGAGTCCCCATCGGCCCCCTAAACGACCCTCTTCTGTGCCTAGATGCCCGACCTGAGCATTCAAGTTTCCGGCTAGTACTACAATATCTGTCGAACGCACTTTCTGGAGAAGAACAGATAACTGGTGGTAAAACTCATCCTTGATTGCATCCGGGCTGCAATCTGTCGGGGCATAGGCGGAGATGACGAAGAGACATCGTTCCTCACGCCGATTTCTTCTCACTTTGATGGAACTCTAATCTAACAGCACATAACCGACTGTTAATGGGGACCGATCGATTAGTGCTGCCTCAGCTCTAGCGCTTAGTGCGACACCAACGCCAGCAACACGAGACGAAGATGCCACAGGGTCCCCGGATAAGCGCATGTAAAACAAACTTTTTGAAGCGACAGATGGAGATCGAATTTGTAGTACTTCGCCAGAGTCTTGAATACGGGTCTCGGATAGACAGCAGACATCGATATGAAGACTTTCCGAAGACATAGCCAGCCCTATCTGTTGTCCGACCTGCATAAGTGTGCGAATGTTGAAGGCAGCCAGTTTGAACGGCGCACGTGGTTTCAGAAAAACTGCTTCAGTACTCATATTCGGTGGTAACATACAATTTTCAACCGGACAGTGACTCGAGAACGTTTAGATACAGTCGGATTTCCACCAAAGACGAGCCGCTGTATAAGTATAAAAGAGGGTGAATAATGTGGTAAATAATAATATTATTAATAATAATCATTTGAATCGTTTGATTGTTAGTTGAAGCAAGTAAAGTAGTTTCCATAATTATATACAGTTCATCATATTTGTGTGTGGGCTGTGATACTGCCCGGGTGCCCAGACCGAAGCAGGTGGTTATCTTAGGAGGCCACTCCCCGAGCCTTCAACCCAAAGGTCTAACCCACAAGGTAGTGGAGCATCGTAAGGAGATGCAGCCCTATGGTAGCCGGTGACGAACATTTGGTTCATACGCCATTTATTCCCGCAGGATACTGGAGCCCATGTGCACCATTGGTTTGGGATCCGGTTAAAGCGCCAGACATTCGCTTTTCGTCCTCTCATTTTCGTAAACAACACCCCCGCCACGAGAAGGCAGTGAGTAGGACTTCCCTGGCAGAGGCTGTATACGCGTGGCCGTGTGAGAGTATCTCGAGAGGGAGAGCGGACTCTCTCCACTCTCAGCCGTACCAAGGCATTAGGGGGCAATCCTTAGGAGACGACGTTGACTAAACACAAAGTTGCTGATTCGGAATGCGTGTTTGGTGATAGTGTTCATAAATCTGATTAATCCATGGTTTATGTTCGTTCAGACAAGACAAAATTTCCGCCATATTCGAGCTGCTCTGCAAGTTGAAAATTATAGGTAAACACAGGGTGGGGACAAAACAGGATCAAAAGGTGGGGTAAGGCCAAATAAAAACAATTGAATTGAATAGGTACTGACTATATCTTGAGTTAATGAAGTGAATTAGTTTCTTCGTAATTATTCATTGTCATATTTGTGAGGAGATCAAGTCGAAGCTAATGGTTTTCTAAAGGAGCCATTTCTCGAATCTTTGACCTAGAGGTGTAATCTGAAAGACTGAAGCAACAACGAATGCTATCATATTCTAGCAGGTGAACAAGGATAAATTCATACGGCATTTGGACTTAGGACTCTGAAGCCTGTGTGCACCGTTAGTTTCGGATCAGAGTTTTTCAACTTGCCTAGGTTTATCCTCAGTACCCACCAAGCCGGTTTAAGCTCCAAACATTTACTTCTCGTCCTCTGACTTCCGTAAACAAAACTCCTTCCATGAAAAGGTAGTCAATTGGACTTTCCTAGCAGTGGCTATAAACACGTGACCATATAAGGGCATATCAATCTTATATTTCCAAGCGAATAACAAACAAACCTTGTTTGTTAGATATAATCATATTTTCTAAGGAATTCTATTCTCGGTCAGATATGTAAGATTTTGGGTGGTCTGTTGGGAATTGTTCGTCACAGGCTAGATAACAGTAGCCAGCTTTTTTTAGTTTCGTGGCTCACAACCAATTATCGTTAAGACCAACATCACTAATAAGATATTTGGCTTGCTACCTAAACAACTCATACCTCACCTTAAATTAATCATATTACAGCCAGCTACCAATGACAGATTCGTACAAAACTACCATTTCGTTTGAAGCATCTCTCCAAATTATGATCTTGATCATCTTGGGTTCTAGCAGTCAAAAGCTACGTTTCAAATTGTTTAAAATCAGTATATTGGCTTTTTTAATTTGTTTTAACACATAGATATTGGCACAAGGAGGCACCAAATACATATGCGCCACACAAATCTCATTTGACATGTGGGAGGGTTGTGATACTCCCTGGATGCCCAAACCGGAGCAGATGGTTTTCTTAGGGGGCCACACCCGGAGCCTTCAACCTAAAGGTCTGTTCCACAAGGCAGTGGAGCATCGTAAGGAGATGCAATCCCATGGTAGCCGGTGACCAACGATTGGTTCATACACCATTTTTTCCTTCAGGATACTGGAGCCCATGTGCACCATTGGTTTGGAATCAGGGTTTTCCAACTCCCCTAGGTGGACTTTCCATGTCCACTAACCCGGTTAAAGCGCCAGACATCCGCTTTTTGTCCTCTCAATTTCGTAAACAACGCCCCCTTCGCGAGGCGATGAGTAGGACTTCCCTGGCAGCTAGCATTCTAACTAAACATCAATGATCTAGATTTAAGACTTTGTCAGCCTACCAAAAAATGTACGTGAGAACTGTTGTTAAGAAACAGAATCTGGTGTCTCGCCGTGTGTTTCAGTACAGTGTGATTTTTATACGAGTCTATTGTACACTAAATTTCATTGCATTAACATTAATTTGCATTACATCTCTGCTAGGCATGCAAATGTTCCAACCTCCTAATGGATCGTTTAAGTGCCACTGGTCGACGCTCTATGGCACTCCTTGCAAGTCGGTGTTATTATTATCACAGTCGTAGCTACGAACTTGTTGGACGCTTGGATTCTGTACGATCATTTTTCCATGCTCGTTTATCAACTGCTACTCTTAGATCAGTAAGTGTTTTGTAAAATTTTATTGTCACCATACAAAGCTACAGTTTTTGTTTTTCAATAACCGTAGAGAGACAGAACATAGTGCAGTTGTAAGCATAGTCAAGGGATGAATAAAATAAGTGATTATGTAGCAGTTATCCACTGTTTCAATCCAATCACTAGGTTAACAGTTTACCAATAATTTCATGGGTTTTACAAGTCATTTACACACTTACGAAGATATCGGACTTAAAATAAGAAAGCATTCTCACTATCTGTCATGTCGTGTGGTAATTATATATTCACTCGGTCAAGCTGATCAAATGCACACTTCTATCTGTCATGTGATACACCTACTCTGGTTTTTAGACTTTAGATATCTGGTATGTCGGCAATTGATTAAAATGTGAAACTTAGTACATTTATTATATGAAACCCTTATCTCAATATTTTCAATTATCTTATCAACACACCGTTTAAAGAAACATGATTCAAGATAGCAATGATAAATAGTGGTTTGTTGAATAATGTTTGGAATAAACCAGATTGATTAGTATTCATACGTGTGGTTTTGACTGATTAAGACGGATTTGAATTTCGAAAGGAGCATTAATCTACAATATATACCTACTACTGATGAGGCGAATCGTCCTTATAAATGCGCATGTTACACTCATATAAATTCATACTTCCATGCATAAACACCCTAAATCTATAACACAAACCTCTACGTATAGAACTGAAGAGATTGACTGCTAATACATTATGAACTCCCAGCATCAGGAGATTAATTTTTATGGTCAAATGAGTTAGTGGTTGGGCTATCTAGGTTTCAACTTCTGAATCGCTGGTTTGAACTCTATTCCATTTAATTCAATATGGATAGTTGAGGAATATCATCTATAATATCAGTCAGTCAGTCAGTAACAACGTAGAACTTCGTACGTACGTACATCAGTTCGAGTTGCCACACCACATTAGCACAGAGATGCAGTTGTCGATTCAAATCCCGTGGTGGTAGAGGTAGCAAGAGTATAAGCAGTAATCGCGAAGATTAGGGTTTGGAGATGTTATTTAAAGAGTATAATCCAGTGAAATTAATTTGGAAAGAGGAAAAAAGAAAGGGACATGAAGACTTCAGAAGATTAGAATTTGGGAGAACACAAAGAGTGGATGCACCTTCGCACACCATTGCAAGCGATTTTCAGCCATGTCATTCAGGGTCTCTAACCATCGGTTGCTATCATCTCGTGGTCCCCAACCAGGTAGTCTGCACCTATCAACATGACTCAGTCCACTTGTCAGTGACTTCATGGACTTGTGCCATGTTTTGGTCTGGTCGCCCCTAGCTTTCTTCCAACCTACTCCTATACCACTGAACATAGCACGTCGAGGTAGTCGGTCGTTTGGCATACGTAACACATGTCCCAGCCATCTCAACCGATAAAGTTTCACTACTTCATCAATTGATTTGCCATCTTTACCTAGTACCCGTTTCCTAACAACTGTGTTATTTACTCGATGGTCCCATGATATACGAGCAATGTTTCGAAGATACCTATGATCGAATACTAGTAACCTATGAATATTCTCTACTCTTACCGGCCATGTTTCACTGCCATAAAGTAGGACAGAACGAACTGCTGCGCAGTAAACACGTCCTTTGGTTGGTAGACGGATATCTCGCCTACGCCATAAATGTCGCAAGTTGGCAAAAGCTAGTCGAGCCTTCTGTATCCGTGCTGAGATTTCGTCACACACCAGACCACAAGGGCTGATGAGACTTCCAAGATAAGTGAAGCAGTCGACACGCTCAACGACTTCACTCCCTATCATTAATTCGGGTGTTAATGCAACCCAATCCTGAAGCAACATTTTGCATTTCGAGGGGAAGGATCGCATCCCGAACATGCTTGCATTGTTGCTTAGAGTGGTCAGAAGACTCTGCATTTTGTCAGCGTCTTCACCAAATAAAACTATGTCATCAGCATATTCTAAGTCAACAAGTGAACCTCCCAGTGGAAGTTCAACCCCTGGAAATCTAGACGAGGAAAGTGTTATCTCTAAAAGTACGTCAATGACAAAGTTAAACAAGAATGGAGAGAGTGGGCAGCCCTGACGAACACTACTTGAGGTAATCAATTCTGATGACAGTTCGCCATAAGCTCTCACTCGCCCAGTTGTTTTCGAGTAGAAAGCCGCCTTAAGATCGAGAAATACTACCACTGTGGGGCGTCTGAATGTGTGTCTGTGTTCTAGAACCTGACGTAGTGTGAATATGTGGTCTATACAACCACGTCCAGGTCGAAAACCAGCCTGGTTTTCTCTAATCTGCTCTTCGAGCTTTAGTTAGGCGTCGAAGTATTGTTGAGGCTAATATTTTAGACACCATATTAGTCGAACTGATTCCTCTGTGATTGTCACAAGAGGATTTTTGTCCTTTCTTATAGACTGGCACAATCAGTGATTGAGACCAGTCAGATGGGATTGTGTCCAGTTCCCAAATTCTACATAAGACCTCGGTTAATCTCATTGCTAATACTGGACCACCATCCTTAAAAATCTCAGGAGTAAACCTGTCAGAGCCTGCTGCTCTCCCTCGTTTCAGATTTCCTATGGCTTTTTCAACTTCACCGAACAGGAACATTGTGGCTCGACATGAAATACAGGAATTTGTGCTTGGTTTAATGTTAACAGTTTGTTTACCAGGTACAGATACCTGTATCTGGATTTAAGGCACACTCTAAGTGTGTGGACTAGAAATACTGCCCTGTTTGTCAAACCTAATTATGTTGAATGGAGTTCAAACCTGAGATTGGAAGTCGAATGCTTTGACCACTAAGCCATAGATTGGTTTCTAAGCTGGAATAATAATAACTAATTAATTACTGACACCTCAAGGTTAGTATTAATTAGAGTTGCTTTTTTAAGTCAACTCAGTTCTATTTCTTCGTGTACGTAGTTTGTCTCGAGGTATTCAATATACTTGATTTGTATCAAATAAATAAGTAATAAACATTTGCTAACAATTTCCTTGTTTTCTCATTTATTTGGTCCGTATTCTGCTCAGACTCACTATATATATATATATATATATCATGTCCTTACAGTTCCATAAATTATTCAAGTTGATGATATTTCTAATTATGATTTGAAGGGGATGTGTCGTCTTATTCACATTTTATATAGCGTTTATCTGATTACTATTCTTAAAAAAGTATCTGCCACTAAATTTTGTTGGGTTGTTTCATTGTGTTTGTCTGTCACTATCAGCATGTTACTTGTATGTAATATCATTTAGTTATGATTTCCTATGGTGATAATTTCTATTTAGAATTTTGATACTAAAGCTGTGCTAATTAACTTGTTGTTGCGCAACTATTTGCATTATCAATTGCATGAACAAGCACATAAGCTTGTCTCACGTGTAGTATTCCCGGAAAGTGCTCCAAATAACGAATGGGCTAGATATTTGTATTATTTAGGTAAGTTAATCATCCTAATGTTTATGTGCTTTTTGTCTGAGTTATTATTTTACATTGTATAATGTTACTATAAATCTTTATTTGGTTGCTAATCAGGGTTCTTTTAACCTGTTCGTTTTACTTAACTAATACTGCTTTACTTATTGAAAAAGTAAAGTGTTTGTCTTACAGAGAACCTTGAACAGTTTGAACTTCTGTGACTTCGAATACTTGTTTGCTTATAGCTTTTATTGCCATGAAATTTACCCCTCTTGTTTTTCCTTTACACTAAAAAGGCTTAACGTTGTTATCTCCAGGATTTTACTCCTACAAATTCAACAGTTGTCATATGTGCTCAAGATTATATTGTCTAGCTGTCAACTATTGTGCTGATTCCATATGATCTACTGTAATCATACCGACTTAAAGTTGTGAATAGTATTTCCACATATTGTTGTTTTGTGAATACTCTCTCATTAAATTCTAGTCTTATTGGATCTAATGTTGCACTCTCCTGTTGTTAAATGCCATACCATTAGTATTCAACTAAATTCTGATAAATAATTTTACGTGATCTAAATAGCCTATTATTCTGCAAATCACATTTTCATCGAGAACAAAAATAGTTTCTAATAACAACTGAGTGGTATATCAATTGTTTCTTCTATAGCCATAGAGAAGATTTGTTTACGTAACCTAAAAGGATTAGCTATCTCAGATAATACCCTCAAGGTATTTTACACGTAAGTTGTATGCTGCTACTAGGGTGCATAAAGTTGAGTGTGTTTAGACTTGTGACCTGTTGACTGAAAGCGAAGTACTTTAACTACTAAGCCAACGTGTACTAAACTACGTCAATCCCAATCGAAAGATGCTCATGTGCTTAAAACATGCTCAGTATTTAATAATCATCTTCTCACTACGTGTATAGATATCTTATTGTTGATGTTTATCTTATAAAAAGTCGGTAAATCTTTTTAAGAAAATATCTCATGAATTTTTTTGTTATACATACTAGGAAATGTAGTCACTTCAGTATATATGTCCATTTTACTAGGTAGAATCAAGGCAATACAATTAGACTATTCATCAGCTCATGAACATCTGGTTTCTGCTTTGCGTAAAGCTCCTCAACACACAGCCATTGGTTTTAAGCAAACCTTGCACAAATTAAATACAGTTGTAGAATTATTACTAGGTGAACAGCCAGATCGTTCTATATTTCGTCAAACGACATTTAAAGCTGCTCTACAACCATATTTTCAGCTGACTCAAGCAATTCATGCAGGAGATTTATCTCGATTTAACGATACCCTTCGAGTTCATGGAGCTCAGTTTTCAGCTGACAAAATGTATACACTAATTATTCGATTACGTCATAATGTCATTAAAACCGGTGTTCGACGAATATCCTTAAGTTATTCTAGAATTTCTCTAGTAGATATCGCCAAAAAACTCCAATTGGATAGTGTCGAAGACGCAGAATACATAGTTGCAAAGGTAAGTACCCTAAAATATGTTATCAATAAAATCTAATTTCCCTTTGCTCGTTTTTGCAAAGACAACAATATATCATTATAGTTCATCGTAAATGTCGGGTTTCAGCTGAGCCATTCGTAAATATCGTATCTACAAACTCAAGCAGTTTTTGGATTCAAATGAAATATGAATTACTATACTTAATCAAACAAAGTTCTCACTATCTATTATGAACCGAGCGATTGATCGCAGTAGGTAGGGATGGGAAAATGTTATAACTTATTGTTATCATCATCAATATTACTATTACGTGTTGCCACTAGATCGTAATTGTAAGTAGATGGGTGTAATAATATAGCACAGTATTAATATAAATCCTAGTGGATACCACGACTTCACATTAAAAAAATGCTGCCAAGCGATAGAAATGATGAGTATGCATGTCGGTGTCCTAATAGTTGGTGACCAGAAAAGACAATTATATTTGTCTACTTGGTTTGTTTATTATATTTATCACGTTTAAAAAAAGAATTTTTGCTGAATGCTTACTGAATTTTGGGTAATTTCCAAAATTATAGTCTTCATACCTTGTCAGTTTTACGATTCGTACTCAATCAATGTTAGGATTTGTATATCCTTTCTCTTCCACACTTTTCGTGTAATAGCCACTGATTCATACTTATTTGTTACTTGAAGTTTTGTGATACTGTCTGAGTATTCAGTACAGAAGAGGAGGTTGATTCAAATTTGTAATCTACTCGGTAGATTCGGTCGGGTGATGTAAACACTGGATCACCTCTTCAAAATTTAAAAATTTGGGTGAATCTTGGTCCTCAAGAATAGGATAAATAAAATATTTGGTGAAACTTTTATGCACTAGCTAAACTACCTCACAACTCGTACTCCAAAAAGGTTAAAAAGACTCATTCAACCGTCTCCCCTGGCTGCCAACTAAGTTGAGAAGTTCCGTTTTTGCATAAAAGGCTTTTTAATTGAAATTCCAGGAGAATTTCTTTTTATATAATAAAGTACCATATTTACGTACAAAATATTGACACAACGTAAACATGTCATAGGCGGTTGGAAGGAATAAGTTTGTAGGTCATTCACTCCCCCAATCAGTTAAGATCTGAATGCTGACTTTCGTAGTATCAGTTAAATTGATGTGGTTTTTCCACTATAATATCCCGTTGTATTAATTGTTTAACAATTTTTCGTTTGACATCTTCAACTCGTAATCACGGAGCGTGATTAATTCGATTGCGACTTAACTTCCCGTGGTTTTTATTAAGTAAATCTTCTTTGTAAGGTTTATACTTTGTCATAGCAGAGCTAGGATAGAAGGAAGTTGTAGTATTGAAGTGTAGTTAAGAGCTGTCGCCGTTAACACAGTCATATAAAAAACTCGATACCTTCCACCATAAGACATGTGGATATATGTAATGCATCAAATGTATAATTATGTCAAATATGTAGTCTTCTCCATTTTGAAAGTTCGGGTTTTTATTAGATTTATAAGTTTAAATCACTGCACATTCGTTTGAATAAAACAAAACCTCGAAGGAATTCACATTCGTTATCCATTTTATACATTCGACGTCACTTTATTAATTATATCGGAATATAATGAATTGGAAAAATATTTGTCCCCTATAGTTTCATCTTCCGAATCTTTTCCTGGTGGATGTACAATAGCTAATGACCAAATAAATACTATTCTTTTGGGAGATGTACCACAGTTTGATATATTTTTTACACGCGAATTATGTTGGCGACTTTCATTTCAGTACAATGTCAGATATTAACCCGCTCGTTAAATGACTTCATTTCAATGAATCTGATTTAAACTTGATCATTGACTTATCTTGTCAGTTTGTGAATAGAAGACGTCAAGCTGACATATACCATTATTTTTTTATATTCCACAAGAAAAAATCCTTAAGAGATCTATAACAGTGACTGGTGACTGGAATATTTTGACTTTCTCACTGATTTATTTCTTCTTTATGCTTCTTTTCTACAATAATAATAATTATTACCACTATGATTATTGTTGATATAACGGATGTTTAAATTATTTATCTCAAGAATCACATTATATCAGAACTAGGACTCACTACTCAGAATAGAGGACCATAGTAACACTGAAGAATATTTTATTCAATACAATTACAATTAGTCACTCTCGCTGAGTCCAGAGTAGAAATCAATGTCAGGAAGGGAAATCACATATTTAATAGTCAGTAGTCTGTGTCTGTTTATCCGCAATCAATGATCGGCCATATTTTACTTCCACTACCACACTTCACTTATTATCATGGTTATTACAATCAACTGTCTCAATCAATCTTGTTTCTTTTTTCAAAACAAAATTATTCCGATAGGCTATTCATGATGGTGTGATTGATGCTATAATTAATCATAAAGAAGGTCATGTAACTACAAATGAAACGTTAGATTTATATTCAACACGTGAACCTTTTAATCAGTTTCACCAACGTATTAAATTTTGCCTCAGCATACATAATCAAGCGGTCAAAGCAATGCGTTATCCTCCCAAACAATACTCTAAAGATATTGAATCTGCTGAAGTAAGTTATAATAATAATAATAATAATAATAATAATAATAATCATTACTATTATTTTCTCTCTGTATGTTGGGTGAGACTATAATTCATGGACGACCTTTGAGCGACGCTAAAGTGACCTTGAGAGTGTCTTCCTAATAACTAGGACCAAATAAGGGTTATAAAGCAGTTTGGAGAATAAGGATTATGATTTACAGTTGATGGTTAGAATTAGAAATCAGATTTGGGGTTTTCATCACAAACTGAAACCAACTATAATGCCAAGACTCTATTTAGCCAAATGGGTGAATGAATTTCGCGGCAAAATCTAAGACCTATTAACGTAAATCTGATTGGTTCGTCCATAAACTATAGTCTCGCCGTTCGAGAAATAATTTTGTCTTCATATATATTTACTGGTTCATATTCAATGTATCATATTTGGATAAAAAAAGATGACTGGAAAATCTTTTACCATACAGAAAAATATATCAGAAGCGGTTTTGTGGATATTGTAGTAATTTCAGTGCTTGAGATCATGAATCAGTTGAAGCTAGACCATATGTACGTCGTTAGTTTTAGATCTCTGATTGTTGTCTATAATCAGATTTGAACGAACAAACCTGCACTTAAACGGTCTGGCAAATAAGTTCATTCATCAAGATATATATATATATATATATATATATATATATATATATATATATATATACGAAAAGTGGACATGGAAAGTCCATCTAGGGGAGTTGGAAAACCCTGGTTCCAAACCAGTGGTACACATAGGCTCCAGTATCCTGAAGGAAAAAATGGCGTATGAACCTATCGTTGGTCACCGGCTACCATGGCACTACATCCCCTGACGTTGCTCCACTATCTTGTGGAACAGACCTTTAGATCGAAGGCCTTTTTAAAAAACCACCTGCTTCGGTTTGGGCACCCGCCCAACATCCTAGCCCTCACACAAGTCGAATGATTTATGTGGCGCATATGTATTTGGTGCCCCTTCGTACTAATGTTTATGTGTTCAAATAAATAAACAAAATTTGGGACAAAAAACTGGCTTTCAAATTTATTACTTGATCGTAGTTTTTAATTGAATATTTGTTTTCATTTGTTTGTTTTATACAAATGTATACATTATCTTGCTTTTTCAAGGAACGTCGTGAACGTGAACAACAAGAGCTTGAAAATGCGAAGGAACTATCTGAAGATGAATTTGACGGATTTCCATGAATCTCATTCATGTTGGCATTAATAATAAATAACAATGAATAATACTTATTCCCTAACACGATCCATTTTTTAAGACTCAATTGTTTTGTATTGAATACTTTTTGTGACATATATATATATATATGTCCAGTAATCTTGTAGCATACCATGTTACCGTTGAAAAATTTGTCTGGAATTAGTGTTTTTTTGTTGTTGTTAATTGTAGTTTATTAATCGAGAGGAGAGTAACCTACTCGTAAATGTCTTGTTTAGTACAAATAAGATATAATACAGTTATATTGTACAAGATATTGTCATCAATGATTACAATAATAATGGTCGATTAACCGGTTGCTGTGTTTATGAATTGAAGTAAACATTATTATAATGCATACAAAACGAAGTGACGATATTGTAAATAAATAGGAGTAGATTCCATAGAAATAATAATGGAAAGTAGTATTGTACATAACGCCAATGACAACCGTTCATTTAAAGTGCTCAACACAATAGGAAACTACAGTAGGATTATCGCTGGGTTTTATCCAAAGGGTCCTAACTATCCTACGCACGCTAATCATACAAGACTGTAGTTCATTCCACGACACAGCCGTAAATCCACCGCTTCAACGTCGACAATTAGAAAGCCATTAGACCATTCATAAAACGTGACTGTGTCATGTTGTAAATGATATTTTAAGATGACTACTTATTGTGCGACTCAGTTATCACTGTTGCCTGCATATATGAGCGTTCCACTTTCTAATTTAAGATTAATCGAACGTATGAAGCTGCCGAACATCGCTTGTTCGTAGCGGCCAAGTTGTACAAGCGTTGATAATGTTAGCAGCAAAATCGGTAGTAGAATAAGGATTATCATCGTTTTACTCAATAAATTCTCCATATTAACTGTAAAAAAAGAATTCGTTTATTATAATGGCTACCATTAATCCTATTCGATGCGAAATGGTTTCTAATTGAGTTTAGAGAACCGTAATTTTAACCATGAAGAAGGGTACACAAAAGTTCAAAGCAAATAACCATGGTGATAATCTATTTATTAAATATACAACTGAGTATTAGGGACTGAGTCCTGTTGCATATTACTGAATGTATCTTTAAAATTTTAATGACTGTAAGCCTTCAGTTTGTTTGGTGTGGGGGGGGGTCGAGAAGGATTTGTATTTTGTACGTATTTGCACTTCTCACTTAAAATTTGGAATTACACCAGTATGTGACCCATTTTACTTTCGAGCAGCATGTAACCTGTCTGTATTTTCCAGCATTTCAAGGCTTAATTTTAGATTCACTAAAATTCGAAATCTCATTCAGGTCTACTATATTTACCTGCTTTCACAGAAGTCAGCGGACAAAAATAATCTCCAAATGTTTTATTCTACTCAGTTTAGTCGATAACGGACAAAATGTTTTAAAGAGCATCCAGATCAACTTTGAATATGATAATGGAGTCTCTCACGAGTGTATAAGATATCAAAGTGTTTGTAAATCTCTAGAAATGTACAATATTTTATGTTGATGAAGTTCTGTTTTCTGAGCTGGATGGTTTGGTCGTGGAGCTTTCATCGTTCTTCTGAACGACATCATCAGCACAAACTTCAGATAGAAGTGAAGTGTTCGAATTTCTCCATATGCGTCTCACAGCTTTTTTTGTACACCTCGATATTGATTGGTCGTCCTTATTCACCTTAAATTTGTTTACTTCCTATGTTTGTGCATAATTTTCCTGATTGGTTGATAAATTGGATCAATTTCAATGTGCTTGTTGATTGCTGATTGACCTGAGTGTCAGGCTTCTAAAAATCCTCTGGTGTTTTTGGAATTCCCTCTGTCCAAGATTTCCACATTTTTCCAATCAAATGAGTGTTCGCAGTTGTCCACGTGTATTGATATAAGTGAGGAAGTATCACGGCGTTTGATTGCTAATTGATGTTCATGTAGGCGAAGATGAGGAGGGCGTCCTCTGTAGTGTTTTTCGCAGTTGCACAATTTATTTTGTAGATGATGTTTGATTTGTCTTCTTTTGTCATTTAATCCTTTGGTTTGCATAGGATTAATTGTAGTGATTTTATCGGTTTGTGTGCCACACCTATCCCGAAGGTTTTCAGCAGTCGTTGCGGTTTCTCATACGCCTTTTATGTACGGCAGGGCGATCCTTTTGTTGATTTCTGTGCTTGACTTGGGTTCTGATGCTGCGTGCGGCTGGTATTTTTTTATGTTGATTGGGTAGCCATTCTTTTGAAATACATCTTTCAGGTATTTCTCTTCATTTTCTCGTGCCACCAGTGTATAGCTGGGAAAAACCACGTGATTCAGAGAAATCAAAAATAACTCACGATTTCACGGAATAACATACAGCAGAAAGAAATCAGTCTGAAAGACTATTGCAGATATAAATTCAAGCTCAGTTAGAAGGCAAATACATACATGTCACTAATTGTTTAGTCTTCAGTAGACGAATACACTTTTTAATAAATTGGTAGATAAGCTGACCTAGTCATTCTGTTACATAATACATGATACTTAAAAATAAGACTCGAAACATATAAGATACAGAATTTCAGTACAACAATATCAAAGCGTATGCTACCATAAATGTGTTGATCAGAATATTTAAGCAACAAATATTCAACAAAATGACATTTTAGCTACGGAGATTACTTTTTGACGATTTTACTCACTAAAGTTGTGAAGTCGTATTAATAATTATTCCTTGATATATGGTGGTTTACAACAGAAACAGGGCTGTTGCATCACTATCAGTACCAAAAAGCCAACTACGAGTCAAACTTACGTAAAGACTATACACTTGACAATTGTAAGGAAGATGTATTCGGAAATGGATGCATATCAAATCAATTTATAAAGTGAGATATCGGGATAATTGTCGCTTGAAATATGTGAGAAGATAATGGATAGGAAATGAACACGTGTGGTGGAATAACTAATAAGAGAGGTTGTTAGGACCATGGTGAACTGACAGACTGGATATTTCACTTCTGTAGATCAGGCTTGAGCTAACGGATCGCCAAAACTTCATCTATGAACAAGTTTTTTTCATTCGATTTTCCTTCGAATCACTTCACATTTGTAACCCTAGCTCTATCTTCAACAGCTACAAAAATCTGTACACGACACAACACGGGTATAATTAGACAATATCCGACAAAAACATGGAATATTGGATTTTCTAAAAGATTCACTGACAGAAACTTGAAGTTAAAATACCTGTATGAAAGAACCCCTGAAGTACCAAGGATACTGTTCATTAACATTGATTTTGAAGCAAATACAGCCACAGCAATTTTATAAACCTGATTGTGTAAATCCCTGAAAATTTTTATCCAGCTGAGCTAAGAATTGTTTTCCAGAAGATATCTGGCTGAATTTTTCGAGGGCCAACCGCTGTTATCTCCTAAAATTGGCACACAAGTATCGAGAATTTACGTCATTTCACCAACCTACTTCCAGCGCAAATTACCGAGGTTATCGGATAAGACAAATCTGGTGTCACGAAAAACCTCATGCATCGATACAAAGCCTATAAATTGATGTTAGGAAAATCTCAAACATAATCAACTACCTGCTACTTGAAAAACCCTTCATCTAATAAGTGAATTGAGAACCAGTTGTATTATTCTCACCGAGATAACCGATGTCTTTATATTAATATAATAGTCACACTACTATATAGAAATGAGCAAATAAAATCTTATCGGGTAACGGTATGATTACTTATCCGTCATTAGAAACGGCTACTTTTCCTACACACGTACATAGTGAACGACCACGCTGAGCAGTTAGTAAGGAAACAC